GGGGCGGGCCACCGCGGGTCTGGGGGCGACCGGTCTCGCCCAGGCCACCGACTTCCAGGGGTCCCGGGACTGCGGCCCTCCAGCGGGGGCGCCGGCTCCTCCACCCTCGGACTCTGCCGCAAGCTCGCGGTGGGCGTCCCCGTCGTCGCCTTGGCCTGCTCCCAGCTCCGCGAGACAGATGGGGACACTGAAGTCCAGAGAGGGGCTGAGAGCACCCTGCGGCCCCCAGCAAGGTGGCGCCTGAGTCCCGGCCTCCTTCCACCCAGCCCTGCTGTTCGTCCGGCCGGTCCTTCACGTTCTCCAGCAGGGCGTATGACATCGCGGGAAGGACCTGGCCAGGTGGCCCGGTCAGCGTGACAGTCGCTGACACCTGGACTCGTGGGCAGGCCCTGTGCGAGTCCTCGTTGCAGGCAGGGGTGTGGGTGGGGTGGCAGGTGGGGTCCCACTCAGGTGTGGGGCCGAGCGCGGGGGAGGACGCGTCTGAGACGGCTAAGGAGCGACATCGGGGACCCCTTCCGCAGGGTGGGCTGGGGGAGGTGAGGACGCAGGGGTGACTGACCCCTCACTGTGCCCTCTCGGCCTGGGGCTCCCTGCCCCCTGTCGCCCGTGCTGAGCTGTTTCTTGACCATCCCACATGTGGAGGTGGGGAGACAGGACAGGACTGAGACTTTGGAGGTTGGGGACTCTGGCTTGAGTGGCTTTCATGACATTGGTTTGAGCAGGAGATCTGGACAGTCCATGCAGGCCGGGGACCCTCCCCCGTTCTGCACGCAGGGCTGCCTCCTGTGGCTCCCCGCACCTGGGCCAGGGCCCTCAGTCCAGGATGGCTGCAAGAGCCTCCTGGGTGCTCCGTGCCAGCCCAGTCTGCAGCCCTGGGGATCCTTTGACAAAGTCAGCCTGACTGGTCCCACCTGACACAGAGCCTGGAAGCCCTGTTAGAATGACCTTTCAGGAATGTCTTTCATGTATTCTCTTCCCAAGTGGCCATCAAGTGTCTTTTCATCCAGCAGGGACTCACAGAGCACCTACTGAGTGTGGGTCTGCTCCTGCCACCCCTGCCGCTGTCCCTGCCGCTGTCCTTGCTGCTGGACTCTGTCTCCTGCTTCTCCCAGGCAGGGCTGGGGAGACCACCGTGTGGCAGCCTGGCGGGGAGCTGGAGGCCTGGGGCTTCACACAGGCGTGTGGGTGGTGTGTGCGTGTGTGAGCGTGTGCATGTGGCTGCGAGGGCCCTGCTCGCCTCCCTCCTGCAGAGCCTCTCCACGGGGCTGTGGGCGGCTGAGCCTCTGCCACCTGCTTGGTTCCGAGAGTCACACTTCCCTTTTTATAGCACATGTGCTATCGGGAGCTGTGGCACCTGACCTTCCTCTCAGCTTTTCTGGGTGGTGGAGGCTGTGACATGAGAGAGGGCCCCGGGGAAGGGGCATCTTAACTATGCACACAGGGGAGGGGGAGGAAGACGCAGCAGGGCAGAGGTGGGGCTGCTACATGCAGAGTGGCTGTGTGGGTGCGTGCGTGAGTGTGAGAGTGAGTGTGTGAGTGTTAGAGTGTGTGTGTGAGTGTGAGTGTGTGAGTGTGAGAGAGTGTGTGAGTGAGAGTGTGAGTGTGTGATGTGTGTATTTGTGGTGCATGTGTGTGTGTGTGTCTTCAGAGTTTGGGAGTGGGTCGGGTCACCTCCTTGGTGGTCTTCTCTGATGTCCAGGGGACAGGACTGGGGGAGAGATCAACTTGGCAGGGCTTCTGGGGCTTATCTCTTGGAGGCTGAGGTGGGCTGGGAGGGTGTCAGATGTCCGGGCTGCAGGGTGGTGACATCCACGGGTGGGGGTTCCCGAGCTTTGGGGGTGATGCCCCAGTGCCCCAGGGACAGGAGCCACGCGGTGGGCTGGGGCCGGGCTGCTCCTCTGCACTCGGGTCCTTGGCCGTTTCCACCCCCTTCCGTGTTCGGAGGGTCTGTCTGGGCAGGGCTGTCTCTTCTCCGTCCTTGGAGGGTCTTTCCTTGTAGCTCATCATGAACTTTGGGCTGGTCCTCAAGGGGGAGAACTCCAAGCTGCTCCCGGCTGTTGTGAGCCCCTTGCCCACCTGCCTGGAATGGAATTTGTTGAATTTCGGTCCCCATGAGGGGCACAGACATTCTCTCTTGGCATTCCCCGTTGGTTTTGTGTTTGCCACTGGCTTAGTGCTCTGTCCCCCTGCCACACCCCCACCCACACACTAGAGGGTTGGTTCTTGAGGGCAGCAGGTTCTGTCTGTGCATCCAGCACCCAGAACCATCTCTGGCCCACCGCAGGTTCTCAGGAAGTACTGTGGGGTGAGAGCGTGGCTGGGCTTTGCCACATTCAAGACAGGATCCTCAGATTTGGGAAACAAGCTGCGTTAGGAGGGGGCTGTCATGATTTTGAACGTCCAGCTCACAGTCTCACCAAGGTCACTGCCGTGGAGCAGCAGTGAGTCTCAGACTCCTTTGAAAATACTGTGTAAACAACCCCACTTCTGTGTGGCCAAGCCAGGGGTTTGTGCAGTGCCTGATAATAAAATCTGTGGGGTCATTCCTTGGACCATGTTGCTGGGTGGGGCCTGGTGGGCTCCCTTGATGTGTGCGTGGTTGGGGATGTCTGAGTTGGGAGTGTGGGGTCATTTAGCCTGCTCAACTCAGAGGGCCACTCCCTCCACTACAGCAGCCCCAGGTGTGACTCTGGGGCCCAATTTCCCCAAGGAGGCCCCTCCCTAAAGGGCTTACCATATCAGGGGGTTGCCAGCCAGAGCGCGTTCCCTGGGTCCAGAGGGATGCTGGGGAGTTTCCATATGGGCCCACCCCGCCCCTCCTCTGGGAGCCCACTGGCTGCCCATCAGAGCTCCCACATGAAGGCAGGTGTGGGCCTGTCTGCTCGCTAGTCTTCAGGCTGTGCTTCTGTCCTGCCCACGCGGCCACCCTGGGGCTGCCCAGGGCCCCCGTCGGAGGTCTCCTGCTGTGATCCTGTAGCTTCTCCTACACGCAGACCTGAAGATCTGACCTGGTGTTGCTTGTGCCCTCTTCTGTTCTGACTTCATCCCACGTGTCCCCAGTGCCCAGGCCAGCCCGACACCCTTCTGCGTCCGGAGATTGGGTCTTTCAGACTCCCCATGCAGCCTTGGAACAACACGTCACCTATGTTGGTGGGAAGCAGGCCTGAGCTTGCCAGGTGGGTGGTCTGGCCACCTGGGCCTGGCACATCTATCCTTCCAGGGAAACTTGATGTAGGAAATTTGATTATCTTGATCTTTCTGGCTGAACGCTGTTGGGCAACAACGGCCATCTGTGGTGAGACTTGGCTGGGCCCAATGGCTTTATCACGGTCTAGTGCTCTGTGGCACCATGAGGTGGGCACCCTGGGTCACTGGGAGCCTGTCCCCACTCTGCAGGATTTCAGATGCATTGTCATGTGGGGGCACAGAAACACCCATGTCAGCAGGTCTCAGGAGACCCCAAAGTCAAGGACCTGCAGGGGCACGGGTGCTCTGGCTTCATCCCTGGGGTGGGCAGGGTGACCCTCTGGACGCTTTGTCCTGGAGCTCTCTAATAGTTTTCCCAATTTACCCTGCCTTCGAGGCCTTGGGTTGGCTGGCTCCCATGTTTTCCACCCTTAGTCATCTGATGCATCTAGTCTTTTCTTGTTTGGCCAGTTCTTGCCCGAGGATGTGACCTCTGGGGACCTCTTGTCCTAGAGAGTCCCCATGACCTTTCGCAGATGGACAGGAATAGGATCTCCCTAGGACTGCCAGAGGGTGGTGAGTGCCCTTGATCTGTTCAGATTTCTGCATCATAACATTACGTGGCTCTAACCATGAGGAATTTTATGCCTCATAAATGTGCCCTCTGCCCTCCACAGTGTTGGTTTTCTGTTTTGGTCCTACTGGCCTCGGCCCTTCCTGCTGCCCACCCCAATGCTCGCCCAGGGCAGGGAGGGCCTGGGTGGGGTCGGGGAGGGCCCAGTGGGAAGTGGGAGTGAGGCCCCCTGGGTGGATTACGCAGGACCCTCCTCTGCTCCCCCTGCCCCAATTCTGGTGCCCTCCCCCTCCCACTTCTTCCATCTTTAAATACTTTAGCTACTTGGAAGACCTGTGCATGCCTGGTACTTGGGCTTTAAAAATTAACTTCACAGCAAGAGTTCAGATCCCTGTACCGGCCAGCCACGCACCCCCCACCCCGCAAAAAAAAACCCCAAACAGAAAATGAAACCAAAAATTTTCCTGGGCTGGGCTGCCTTCCCACTTCTGCTTCCTCCTGGACCCCACCCAGCACTCAATGAACTTCCTTCTCAGATTTAAGGATTTATGGAGCAGCAGCTTGGAGGGTGGCCCCACCCCTGAGGAAGTCCCAGATGGGATGGGGCAGCTCCTTGGGTGACAGTGGGCTGAGTGCCTTGGGATGGCGACACCCTCTTCAAAGATGGGAAGCCTGGTGGAGGACTGGGGTGGGGCAGCAGGGCAGAAGGGCTCTGGGGTGGTGACCTGGGGGGGTGTCAACCTTTCACAGCCCTCTCCCCACACCCACGCGCCTGCTCCTGGAGAACTTTCTCCTGGCAGGGGCTTCTGAGGCTTGGGTCGGGGACACGTGGAGTTCGGTCATGGGCACATTTGCTGCTGGATGCCTCCCAATCCTGCCCCAGGCCTGGACCCAGGTGTGAGTGTGGTCAGGTGGGTCCTGGTTGAAACCCTGGGGAGGTGACATGGGGAGCCCTGAACGATGGGTGCTGCCCCCGAGGGGCTGAGGCCACCCTGCTGGTGGGCATTAACGGGGAGTGAGCCGCCCAGGGTTCTGGGGTGGCAGACAAGATAACAGTGACGTCCCTCCATGGTATGCTGCTTGGGGCTGTCGACCTTGTGCCCTGTCCCCCTTCAGTCTCTGGTCTTTGCTCAGGGGTCCTGTGGGGGTGTCCCTGAACCATGGCCTTCCCCATCCAGGCACGGATCCCACTGCCTGTGTCTCTTGGTGGGCAGGGACCCTCGAGCAGGCCGTGGAGGCCTGAGTGGCTGGTGTGTGCAGCTTGCCGGGGCAGGGCCCGGCCGGGCCTCTGCTGCTCTCAGGTCTCCCAGTAGCAACTCAGTGTACAGGGGGAGCAGCTGACAGGGGGGTTCTCGCTGCCTTACCTTTGGGGCCCAGTTCCCACATCTCAAAGTGGAGCCCTCAGTCCCTTCCTCTCAGGCCTGGCTGCCACCTCTCTCAGGGCACAGTCCAAAGTGCTCATGGGGACTTCAGAGTCTGCTCCAACCACTAGGGCCTTGGGCTCTTCCTCTAACTCACATCCCGCCTCAGGCCTTTGCACTGGCTGTTCCAGTCCTGCAGCGGGTCAGCCCTGGCCTCCCTGGCTTGCTCCTTCACCTCCCTGCACCAGCGCCCACGTTGGGATGAAACAGTAAGGTGAGGCCTGTGAACCAAACCTACTCCATTTTCCCTGCAGAGGACACCTTGTTACTTTTCCACTCCTCAGTCATGAGACACCCAGGACAAATGATTACCCCATAGCCTGCCCTGACAAAATAGATTGAGTAAGAGAGGAAACAGATGTTCACTGAGTTATGAACCCCCCCCAAGGCTTGTTTACCATAATCGTAAAAGTTACAGATTAACCTTAAGACCCCTTTAGGAATTCCCATCTGCAGCACAAAGCTTCTAGGTGACTGCTACAATGACCCTCCTGGGGTGACATTGATGAACACCACTGCCATCTTGCAACTACTGAGCATGCGCCCTCGACACAACCAGGAAGAACAGAATGGGTCACCCCCAGTGACGCTGGCCTGCACCCCTTAACTCCTTTCCCTATGAAAGACCCTGAACGACTCCCCTTGGGGGACTAGCTTCACTGTCATTAGCGCCCTTACGCATAAGTCTATCTCCTCTTTTAATAAAGCGTTGCTTGTTTTACTGCTGGGTACGTTGTTCATTTCTATGACTTTGGAATCCAAGAGCCTAATTTAATCACTGGTGAAAATCGGAAAGCTTTGGGCACCAGAGAAGACACTAGCTGCAAGTGGCAAGTGGCCACTGGGACTGTTTTGCTTCCATGTCTCTGCTGCTGACGCCAGCTTCACGGTGGGGGTGGGGGTGGGGGTGGG